GATTATGCAATTGAGTTCCGCACTATGGCTATTGATTGCGATTGGAATGATTCAGCGTTAAGGGACATATTTCGGAACGGACTATCAGAGAAAATTAAGGATCATTTATTGCTTATGGATCCTCCCACAGATTTAGAAAGTATGGTAGCGGCTGCTATTAAGATTGACAGTCGCATCTGTGAGAGAGATAGAGAAAGAAAGAAGACTGCCGTTTCGTCCAGCGGAACCAGAGGGTTCTCAACAGCTGTTCATCTTGTCCGGAGGACATCATTCGGCTGGTCACCTGCTTCAGAGGCCACAGCGCCCCCCATTGACTCGGAGGAGCCGATGCAGCTCGGCAGGGCCAGAATCTCACCGGAGGAACGACGTCGCCGCCTAGTGGAGGCAAGATGTTTCTACTGCGGTCAACAAGCCAGGTGTCCAGTAAAAGAACAGGCTCACCGGTGAAAGGGAAGACACTGGTGAGCCAATCTGACTTTTTTGACTTCCCTCCACGCACATTAACTCAAGTTATGCTATGTGAAGGTAATCAGGTTATTGAACAGGGGGCACTTGTAGATTTTGGAGCCGATGAGTTTTTTGGATAAAGAGCTAGCTCTTAGGCTTAACCTGACGTTGACGCCAATACCTTCGCCGTTAAAAGCGAACGTGTTAGATGGGCGCCTACTATTCACAGTGACTCATTGCACCACACCTGTAAAAATGACAATCAATGACACTCATGTTGAGAACATAGTTTTTCATGTGTTTAAATCAGCTCAACACCCGATCATTTTAGGTTACCCTTGGTTACTTTTGCACAATCCTGTCATTGATTGGCGGTCAGGGAAAGTACAAGAGTGGGGAATGTTGTGTAAACAGAAGTGTGTAGCCTACACGATCAGAGTAAGTTGATGCTGAAGAAGATCTCCACTTCTAAAGCAGACTGTCACAACGAACCTCTTTCCGACTATTTTTCTGATTACCTTGATTTATCAAAGGTCCCCACATGTTATCATGATATAAAGGAAGTCTTTAGTAAAGCTAGGGCGAGTGCACTACCACCCCATCGGCCTTATGATTGTGCTATAGACTTGTTGCCAGGATCCACGATTCCCAAGGGCCGTCTGTACTCCCTGTCAGCTCCAGAAAAGGGGTCCATGAAGGATTACATCGACACCTCACTCAAGGCAGGACTCGTCCGACCGTCTTCCTCTCCTGCCGGAGCGGGTTTCTTCTTCGTGAAGAAAAAAGATGGTTCTCTCCGTCCCTGCATCGATTACAGTCCACTGAATGACATCACGGTAAAAAACAGATACCCCCTCCCTCTCATTGACTCTGCTTTTGACCTATTGCAGGATGCTAAAGTGTTCACAAAACTGGATTTACGCAACGCTTATCATCTGGTAAGAATAAGGGAGGGGGATGAGTGGAAAACTGGATTTAATACCCCAACAGGACATTACGAGTACCTCGTAATGCCTTTCGGGTTAACTAACGCCCCAGCAGTTTTCCAGGCGCTGGTCAATGATGTACTCAGGGAGTTTTTGAACGTGTTTGTCTTTGTGTATTTGGATGACATTTTAATCTTCTCTCCTGATAAGGAGACTCAAGTGCAACATGTCCACCAAGTACTACAGCGCCTACTGGATAATCACCTGTTCGTAAAAGCAGAGAAGTGTGAGTTCCATGCATCAACTGTCTCATTCCTGGGGTTCATCATTTCTCCTGGACAAATCCTGATGGACCCTGCAAAGGTCAGTGCAGTGGCAGACTGGGCCACCCCCACCAATAGGAAGAAGGTACAGCAGTTTTTGGGGTTTGCTAACTTCTACAGACGATTTATTAGGAACTTTAGCTCTGTTGCTGCTCCCCTTCATGCACTGACCTCACCAGGGGTTAACTTTGTGTGGGGCCTCAGGGCCGAGGAGGCTTTTAATGAGTTAAAAAGAAGGTTTACCACAGCTCCCATACTGACTGTTCCTGATCCTCAACGACAGTTTGTTGTGGAGGTGGATGCCTCCAATGATGGGGTGGGGGCCATTCTCTCACAGAGAGCGGCTGGGGATCATAAGATGCATCCTTGTGCCTTTTTGTCTCGCAAACTATCTCCCTCAGAGAGAAACTACGACGTCGGAAACCGAGAGCTGTTGGCAGTCAAGATGGCTCTGGAGGAGTGGAGGCACTGGCTTGAGGGGGCGCCACAGCCGTTCTTGGTTTGGACCGACCACAAGAACCTTCAATACATCCGCAAAGCTAAGAGGTTGAACTCACGCCTGGCCCGGTGGCAACTTTTTTTTAACCGTTTTGACTTTACATTGTCTTTCAGACCTGGGTCCAAGAATGGCAAACCTCACGTCCTCTTACGCCTCCATGACCCAGAGCCCATGGCCAAGGATCTAGAGCCAATCCTTCCACTCTCCCGTGTGGTTGGGGTGGTGACATGGCCTATAGTAGATCAGGTGAAACGTGTCAATGGTGAGGGGCCGAAACCTAGTGGCTGTCCATTGGACAGGCTATTCGTGCCTGAATCCATGCGGTCACAGGTTATTCATTGGTCTCACACATTACTGCTCACTTGTCATCCAGGGGTCAAGCGGACCGTATTCGTCGTTCGACAGAGGTTTTGGTGGCCTTCCTTGGTTAAGGATGTCTCCGAATATGTGGCTGCCTGTGTAGTTCGTGCCAGGAACAAGCCGTCATCAAAATCACAGATGGGACTGCTGCAGCCTCTCCCCGTTCCCAGCAGGCCCTGGTCTGACATTTAGTTGGATTTTGTCACGGGTCTTCCTCCATCCAAGGGTAACACCACTGTCCTCACTGTAGTGGACAGGTTCTCTAAGATGGTCCATTTTATTGCCATGCCAAAGTTGCCGTCAGCTAAAGAGACTGCTCAGGCGTTATTGACTCATGTTGTCCGTATTCATGGTATTCCCAGAGACATTGTGTTGGATCGAGGTCCTCAGTTTTCCTCCAGGTTCTGGAAGGAGTTTTGCACCCTCCTGGGAGCGTCCGTCAGCCTCACCTCAGGTTATCATCCCCAGTCCAACGGACAGACGGAACGGCTGAATCAGGAGCTGGAGACGTGCCTGCGCTGCCTGGTTTCTCAGAACCCTGCAACCTGGAGCGAGCATCTGACATGGGTGGAGTATGCACGCAACTCTTTGCCCACCTCTGCTACCGGTCTGTCTCCCTTTCACTGTGTCTTTGGCTATCAGCCTCCTCTATTCTCAGAAACTGAGAAGGAGGTGGTGGTGCCATCTGCTCACGCCTTAGTGAGAAGATGCCACCGTGTCTGGGCTGCAGCTCGTCGGGTCCTCCTGAGGAATTCGGCTCGGATGAAGACGGTGGCGGATCAACGGCGGCGGGCGGCACCTACATACAAACCGGGGCAGCGGGTGTGGTTGTCCACAAAGGATCTGCCACTCAGGGTCTTGTCAAAGAAGCTCGCTCCAAGGTTTGTGGGTCCATTTCCTGTCACTAAAATAATCAATCCTGTATCTGTCCGTCTCCGTCTGCCCAGGTCACTACGGGTTCATCCAACGTTCCACGTCAGCCGAATCAAGCCGGTTCTGGACAGTCCCCTGGTTCCACCCTCCAACCCCCCCCCCCCGTGTTGTTGATGGCGGTCCGGTGTACTCTGTCAAACGTCTCCTGTCAGTGAGAAATCGAGGCAGAGGTTGTCAATTTCTGGTTGATTGGGAGGGCTACGGTCCTGAAGAACGGTCCTGGGTCCCGTCCAGTTTTATCGTGGGCAAAGACTTAATCGAGGACTACTACAGGTGTCATCCGGAGGTCCCAGGGCCGTCAGGTGTCGTCCCTAGAGGGGAGGGTACTGTTGTGCGTAGACGGCTTTGCTAAGATTGTTCCCTAGTTTAGGTTTCATGTTATGTGTTTAGTTAGGTTCCTGTTTTATTTTGATAGTCTTGTCTACCCTCATGTGTCTAAAGTACGTTTCCTGCCTTGTCTGTTTTCCCACGGTTGTGATTGTCTAATTGTCTTCACCTGGTGTTGTCTGTCTAGTATACAGTATATAGTTCTCGTCTTCCCCTGTCTCGTTGCCAGATTGTCTTGTGTGTTCCAAGCCTTCCAGCGTAAGATCCTTTTGTCATTGTCCATAGAGTTATCGTCCATAGAGTTAGATTAGTGTATTAGTAGTTTTTGTTTTGTTGCTTTATGTATTCAGTGTGTTATGACCTGTCTACATTAAAACACTTTATTTTGATACTTTGTTTGTCTCTGCATCGTGCATTTGATTCCACGCCCTTGTACAGCCCTAAGAGATTGTTTGGGAAAACTTGGTTATAGTTGGGCATCACTGTGACATTAACTTGAGTTGAGGGAAAGGACAGTTTGTTTTCATGGATAAAATCAGTGACATCATGGTGGTATGACGTCATATTCCACGTGCCAGGTAATGGAAACACAGGGGTGGAAGAAGAATAAGTACTTTTACTTAAAATAAATAGTCCAGTGTAAAAATACTGAGTTATAAGTAAAAGTCCAGCATATAAAATCTTACTCAAGTAAAGTACAAGTACCTATAAGAACAATAGTTGAGTATGACCTTACACCATGTAAACATTATTTGTTTAAAACATTTGACTAAACAATAATTTATACAAAGGATTTTTTTTTCAGCTGCAAATGAAAGACGTAGTGCAATAATATTTGTTTTACTGTTTAACAAAATCATTTTCTTTTTTAAATGTCAGGGACTTGGGTATATATATATATAGGATACAAATAATAAACAATCATAAAAGCATTTAAGAAATGACACAATCCCATTAAAAAGAGTGAACCAAAGGTTGTTTCTACACAGGAACCTCTCATCTCAGAGTATCTGTTCATTTAATGGAAGACTTGGATATTTTTAGTCTGTAACATGTTGTTATGAATACATTATTCTATTCCACGGCGGCTCCAGTGATATGTTCAGTCCAACCCTTTCCTCTTGAACACTGAAAGCATCGTGGATGTGAAGGTCGCTTCAGTTCAACACAAACACAATCACAATCCATCATCAACTGCCATTTATTAGTATCAAACCACTGCTACAAAATTACATCAAACATGATGAAAATGGACTTGCATACGTGCTATACACAATGTAAGCTTCAAAGTAATTAAAGTACATGATTTTTTTTATTTCTGGACAAATATCAATATATATTTATATATATTATATATAGATATATCAATTCCACTTAAAGCCATATATATCATTCCAGTGATCTAGAGCCTATAAATGTACAACTATATCCCTGGTGGCTAAAGGACCTTCAGACACATTTAAGTAAACATTTCCAGACTTCTCTTCAAATGGTTTATCAGCATGATTTGAACATTGAAATTAAACAAGCAAATAAAAAAAAATGAAAATAAAAGTCCATGTAGAAAGATTGTTCTGGTCAACCGCGTGATATTCATTCCCAGTTTTTGTAAAAAAGAAAAAAGAATGGCATATATGGTATCCAATTTACAGAAATAAACCAGAAGAATTGCTGCACCTTGATACCTTGAACCCTGCCAGAGGTCACTCCATTTAAACAAACACCACACAGGAGACACATTTGATGAACTGTGTATATAAAACCATGTGTAATCGGCTTTTCAGGGCATGAAAACAAATGAAACAAGATTACATTTACCGTCAGTCAAATTATGGCATTCTCTCTATGGCAAACCCATTCAATCCTTCACCAACACTGACAATTACCCCGGAGCTTTACGTGAAAACACTTGGCTGCGTGTGATTCAGTCCTCCGCGTCATGGAGGGAGAGACCTGCCTGAGATAGCTTGCTTTAAAACCCAGGCAGTATCTCAGGCTCTGCTTCATTGGCTGGCAACTTATTTTCCACTTCAGTGGAAATAATGAGGGACAGGTTGACAAATTCTTGATGCAACTCCTCATTGACAGCTGCCACACGATCAGGGGGATTTCAAAGGAAGTCACACCAGTCAGAAATTACTCTCTTTTTGTACCAATTGAAAAATGTTTTCTTTCAGAATAAATCCAACTTGCCCAGAGACAGGTGATAGAGGAAGAATTTAAATCATTTTCACTCTCTCTGCCTGTGCTTGTCAGGGAGGAAAGCATTTCCTGCTGTGCAACAATCATATCTTCCAAACTGAATATGAGCACTCAAGAAACAGAGTTATTTTTGATTGTGACATCTCAGTCTGCTGCTCAGGGACGAGCGGTGGCGACTGCAGGAGCACGGTGGCGGCTCCAGGGTGTCGTGTGACACAATCTCCCAGTTTAAACTGACAAAGGCACAGGAAGGGTTTCATTAACGGGTCAAGAGGAATCCCTTTTCAACACCTCCTCAGCGCTCATACTAGCCACTGACGCCTTTGTGAAGAGCCAAACACTAGTCATCCCCATTAGCTATGCCTTAGTTTTACTGCACAATAATGCAGTTTTACTTATATTTGCAAAATAAAACTGCAAACACCCAGCATTGAGTGGTCACATCGAGCATTATGGACTTAAATACACTCTGATCATTTGCATTAGTTGTAATATAAAATGACTCGTTGTCTGTATTTGAAGACTGTAAATGCCACTTTGTATTTAATCGCACAGTAAATGCGCCCCTGTTGCAGCAGCAGACAAAACAAAACACTGATTTTGTCATTGTGTTTCTCACAAGTTTCTCACAGGGACTGGTGGTACATCACCTGCACAATCATTCTTGAGGTTTGTTTAAACTCAAGCTGTGATATTTTTAGAGCATGGCAGGTACAGTATGTCAGTTAGACAAAAGATTAATAAGCATGCCCTTCCCGTAATAAAGAAGGGAAAACAAACTGTAATGACCTGATAATAAGCAGGAGAAAGATAATCTGAGCGGATCTGTTTCTGTTAAATACACATGACTGAACTTAAAGTATGCATCAGTCCTAATTATTTTAATTATCATATTTAACTGTGTTTAATTCATTTGTTTTCTATGCTACTTTGGGGTTACATGTGTTAGAATAACTGTTAAACTTAATTAGTGCTGAAGTTTGCTTCTATGTTGACACATTGAATGCTCAGTTTATGTTACATGTAACAGCCAATGTAATATGAGCAACCAGCTTAAAGAGTGTGGAGCATTAGAGCTTTCTATTAGGGTTTGTTATGACTGATAACATATTTTAAAGGCACATTCAGTACAATAGTTGTCCCCCTTTAAGACTCAGCTGTTGTATCATAAATCCAACGTTGTTAAAATGCAAACAGAACAATATGATTCTGAAGCGACCGGGTGAGAGGAGATTTTTAAATGGACAATTAAAATGTGGGGGACGTAATAATACGCACTGGCATGAATATTTTAAATCCTCTTATCTTAAATTTAAAAATGAAGGGACCCCCCCCCCCCCCCCCCTGGTGTCAGCTGGGGACGGAGGTGAGGCAGTGATCTCTGCAAGAGGGGGGGGGGGGGGGGGGGGGCTGTTTTCAGCTCGAACATCAACAGGACTTTTTTAAACAGGACTTTTTTAATGAGGTAGGTCACACAACCGTGGATTATTAAGAGTGCATTCAGATCAGAGGATACTGAGAAGCCTTGTGCTGTTGTGGAAAAAAAGAGGCATAATCGGCCGCTGATCCACGATGAATGCGCAGTGATTTACGTTCATAAACATCTCCAGATCACACACACTGAGCGGCACACTCCAGTCAATGATGGCGCTTTGCTAACGGTGTTTAATCCTATGTGCTGTGGTTTCCGGCATCTGGGCTCAGGAGGATTTAAGCAGCGTTCCCAACAGTCCCAGCAGTGTTATTTTCATTAGGGTTTAACTGTACCCTCGGCAAATCTGTATTTATCTTGAAGTCAACTTAAAAGACCTTCACAATTCATCTGTGTCTCCAAAACCAGACCAATGTACTGTTACTGATATCGGGCGATAATATGCAGCTGCATAACTGTAGCAAAGATTATCCTTTGAGCCACATATTCATTACGTAGCTGGTTTTAACACCAAAAGGACCATTCTTGCTAATGATTACACAGTCATGTTTTCCTCTCTAGTAAAAGCCATGTTGTGATTGACCTAACCCACTTGAAAAGTGTTGAAATAGCTTATAAAGTCTAAAAATGAGATGCCTAATAACAACGGTGACCCTGCCCCTGATTTAAGAGGAGATATCTGTGTGTGAGGAGAACATAGTGAGGAGATAGTTTACATTTTAAGGAGGACTTTCTCTTAATGGTGCTTTCTGGCTCAAACCCTGTCCCAGTGATAATGACAACCCGAGATGTGGGTTTATAATGTAGCATGAAGACTTTTATTGCAAATTATAGTGAATCAATAAAAGGGATCGTTAATTCCATTATTGAAAAAAGAATTAACATCCAGTACATTTCATATGTATGAATACTAGCATGGTTTGCTTAGACGAGCAACACTCCAGACTGTCACCAATGTGCCACAATAATCATCACGACTCTTAACAGCAGTGTTTTTCAGTTAATCAGCAAAGGTTGATTCAAATAAATCACAAACAAACATAGCCGGCTGGTCTGTAAGAGATTTGTATTTTTCGACCAGGTTTAAGAACCAACGGTTTCGGAAAAAACTGTTTCCATTCATAAAAAGTATGAATATATGTAAAATGGCCACCTCAAAAACACAGGTTAACTTTGACATGCAGCACAACCATACTCTCTGCACATCGGTAAACACGCGAGTGTGTGAAAACTATGACTACACACTGGCTCTAAAGATCAAAAGGTATCCTATTTTCTCCAAATATACACACATTGATTCTGTTCTATAATACTGTTATATTGGTTCACCCTCTCTGTGGCAAAAAGTAGGTAATTTGATTGCAAACGTTTTCTTTTTAATGTACTTGTCTGATAATAAAATCCACAACAGCTATGGCATCTAAATGAACCCGACAACATTAGAAACTATGCCATACTGTGCCTCGTTTCAAATAAATGTCACATATCCAGTTTTACAAGTTTCAAATGTACTTTTTTATACATTGTTTTCATAAAGGAAGAGAATAAATATACTTCTGACCCATTTTCATACCTTAACATTTAAACAAGATCATATGGTGCAGTATTTTTATAATTTGTAAAACAAGCTGATAACAATTTCATTAACAAACAATAAAATCAAATGTTTAGCAGACTCTTAAACAAATCACCACGAAACGTAAAGGTAATAACAGTGTTTGTGCTTTAAGTCTTTTAACTGCGATGGCTATTTCTCTATAGGTTTGCAGTTACAAGTTCATGTGAATACTGCGTGAAGTAGTACTTGTCTAGTCCCTCGATCGTGGGGCAGAATATAACACAGCCCAAATCCAAACATTTCAACCTGTACGACAAATACTGATTTTTATAATATGCAACTGGCTTGTTTTGAAAATACCTGCAAGAGCCATGAGTCGAGAAATGTAGTATTGACTAAATATAATGCCTGTTCATAAAGATAAGATCAGCTTCTGGTTCATGAACATTCAATAAGTAGTTATCTTTCAAACTAATGAGCTTTATCTTATTGAGAGTTTCTGGAAGCTTCTAAAGGAGGTTCATTTAATGTGGATGGTTCTATTAAGGCATTACAGTACAGTATCTGTTTACACCATGAAGTGAAGATACTGGAGGATGATTATGCCATGAGAGTCGAAAATAAAACTGTTTCTAGCTTTGATATGTTTGATTTCAGTGAAAAAAAAGCCACATTTTCGTCATTAAACAACCTCATGGTTTATTTATTTTTTATGCTGGACATTCACCGGCCCAGTGGCGCTGATCGGCTGCTTAAATAAAATGGACTCTCATCTAAAGGAGCTCATTGCACCTTAGGGCATGTTTGCAAGATTTATTTAGTGTTTTGTTGCTCGTCGTTAACATTAAAAGGACTGGAGGCAAAGCAAGTTTTATTATTGTACGTTTTTAGATAACATATATTGGTGTATAAACCAGAAATCTCAAGTAGCATGACTTCTGGCTCTCTGAATGTCCTTTATTTGTTAACTGGGGCAATGCTCTACATATATTATCTGTAAGAGACTGTGATACATTAAAGTATTGATTTATCTGTAAAGAAAAGAGGAATAAAACACAGGAATGCAGAATGCTGCGTTCCCGGAGTCCATTATTTAGATATCTTGCCAAAAGACTTTCAGTGTGCAGCTGCAGGTTTTCAGCCAGATGATGATCAATAGGTTATAATAATAATAATTCATAGCCTAACGCTGTGCTCAGACGCCCACTGGAGGTGGCCTGTTTCAAAGAGCCCAGTCTTTAAGAGAGAAGCGTTCAACAGTTGATCTTGGGCTCTGATTTTTATTCTCAACTGCAACAGTGTGTTGTGACATTCATGTTTGTGGACTCTCTGAAAGAAAACGTGTTGAGTTCATACTGCCGTATTGATATCTTCAAGACAAATGTAAACATAGGGCCGCGATGTTCCTCCCTTCTTACTGTACAAATTCATGAACTGTGTTAATGTTCTTGGTCGAAATGAGAAAAGCTGGTCCCACTTTAAAACAAAAGCCTACACTATATTCAAATATAAAGATACAATACAGTATACTTTCCTACTTTGACGGTTGCCTGATCAAATCTGTGAGGCAGGCATATAACTGAAGGACCCATTTCAGAATACAACAAAGCACACCTTCAACACTGTTCATCCATCTAGAGAGTAATCATGACAATACAGGTCCTAAAAAAGTCCTGTCTTTTTGTTCTTTTGAATTTCTTTTTTCAGTTTTTTTGTATTTTTTAAGCACACTCCATAATCTGAATTTGTATTGATAGGAATCTAAATGTCTTTCCTTTGTTCAACAACCCATAATACATTCAATACAACATTGGTATGGTAATTCTGTGTACTGAGAGACTTGGCACAATTGCTTCTTTTCTAGCCATGTACAAAAACGGATGAAAATGTTTTTGCGCCATCGCCTCCCAGAGCATCAAAGTAACTCATTTCGGGAAGTTTGGGGGCCTTTTTGAGATGATTGGAGGTGGGGGGTGGGGGTGGGGGGAGCACTGATTCACAAGGTGAGGTGAAAGAAGAGAGGAAATAATAATAATTATAATAATAAAAAAAACATCATCGTATTTACATGACAGAAATTTCACCAAAAAGCATAGAAAAAAAAAGGTAAATATCCCCACACAATTAACGCTGATTATTTCCCCCAATCACGGCTTTTCAACAAACTGTACCAGATTGGATTCCAGCCTTCAGAAATGTCAAAAAGGACTCATAAATGCTCTCGACAGTCATTGTGTCCGGACTGGCACCTGCTAGTACACGCTGATGAAGGAGGCGAGCGCCAGCACCAGGCACCAGCAGGCCAGCGGGACGTTTGCACTTCCTGTGCTCCCATAGGGCGCAGTGTTGGGCGCTGTGGGCGAAAACAAGAGAAGCTCTGATTAGTTGTGATTGCACTTTCAACACCTGAAAACCTGCGGGCCTCGCATGGAGCTTCCAAATGGGATGGTTAAACCTGCAATTACTGCGCCACTTTAGCTGTTTAGAGTTGGTTTCTCCATTTAAAGGTGTCATTTATACTTTTATAAGACTGCTGCTACTGTAAAATGAAAGTCTGGATATTTGCTTATGTAAAAGTTCATTTTTTTCATTATTCTTAAGGAGAAATGTTTTTATGGTGAAGTAAGATTTGTTTCTCGTTTAAATATGTATTACAATATGTGGGGAAAAACTGGTTGCCACGCTTTTTCCTAATCTAAAATCAGCCACACATACTTTAAAAACATATTCTTAGCCAATTGTGTAATAATAGTTTAACATTTTTGACCAACCAACAGTTATTGAAATGACACCTGGTGAGAGGTTCAGAGGCAAAATTACTCCCTGGTGCGACAGCTAACAGCTCTAACATATCTTTTCAAAATATATTTTTTGGGCCATTATTAAATAGATGCAGCATTGAAAGGGAATTGTGACAAGGGGCCCAAACTAGACACCATTTTAGGGTCTACACCAGTTCAAAAGTAAAATCTTTAAGCACATACACACCAATAATACAGGTGTTTTATCTTATGAGGATGTGTCAAATCTAGGCTTGGTAGACAGTTCCTCCACTATGCTGCACATGTACTGTAATGGCCGGCCAACTGACCCTGTAATTATTCCTATTGGTCCATAGTTTTAACCTGACTCAAGGTCTAATGAGCCTGAATAATTGAAAACACCTGTGTGGGTTGTAGGTCCTTTAATCTAAAATTCATAATTTAACAGCAACACAAATGAAATGGAGCAGGAAGCACTATCCCTCTCTCTGTGGAAGCGTTAAAGTATTAGGCAGCACTGAATGAAAAAACCCAACTAACTACCGATACTAATATATTCCAAAACACTTGTCTTCCATTTCATATTTTTCTAGTTGGGTGTCAAAACACTTCTCCTCTTTCACATTAGTGTAACCGAAAAAAAAGCCATCATCGGAGAGAGGAGAATAAATGAGGCCAGCACAAGGTCTTCTTTTTCACATTCCTATCAAAGGCTTTGTGTTGTGCTGCTTGTGTTTCTGTGACCAGCAGACAGCCACAGTAATATGACCAGGCCTCTCCGGAGAGCTGCGTCAGGAGGACCGAGAGGGAGAGGGCAGCCTTTCATTTGGAGGGGCTGCTCTGCCTCCTCAACAACAGACACACTCTTTTAGTCTGTAGCTCAATAAAGCACAGCTCACAGGTTACAAATCATGCTGTCCCTCCACACACACACAAACACACACACACACACACACACACACACACACACACACACACACACACACACACACACACACACACACACACACACACACACACACACACACACACACACACACACACACACACACACACACACACACACACACACACACACACACACACACACACACACACACACACACACACTAAGGCTTTGCAAACAGGCTCTGCTCTACCAGGGGAAATCATGTGGTGCACAGCCCATATCAGCAGGGTGCCTCTATTTACACAGCCATGTAATTAGTTCACAATGTAACTCCTCTGAAGTGGACCTCACGTTGCACAAACAAACATATCCAATGTACTTGTACTGTACACTCACAGAAGCTGTCATGGACATACAGTATAACGTCCATATCTTAGTGCATTTCTCAGGTAAGTAGCGGATAAGGGTTGTTCTGCCACTGTGCTTTTTTTTTTAAAGTATTAATTCAATAAGAACCAGAGCTGGATGTCATTAGAGTGGCATACGGCTGTTGGTATGTCAAAATAAATACAATGATTGATCCTTTTTTTACCAACATAAAAGCTTGTTGGAGTCAATTTCCACAGACACACACACACATCCCATTATCTCCTGACACAGCACTGCTTTTAGCTGATATTTTCAAGCATTACTCGCCGGCACTGAAGTTGGTTACCAATTAGAGCGAAACCTACAGCTCAGCTGACGGACAGACAGAGGGAGGAAAAGGGAAGAGTGTAGAATAGAGCGGCACACATGTTTGCAAATGTTGATGATGTGTGTGTTGGATGCACGGCCTCTCCTTGTCTCTGCCTTTCTATCTTTGTCTCCCCTTTCTACCCCTCTCTTTCCCTCCCTTTGTTTCCCTCCTCTCTCTCTCTCTTCTCCTATCCAAAGTACAGGATAATGACACAGTTTTCCTTGGCTGTGAGAGCGAGCCGAGAAATGGTAACCATAGCAACTGCTCCTGTCCTGCTCAGCCGGCCCACTGTTGCCCGAGCCTGAGTGCGCTGCATTGTGCTAGCCACGCTAGCAGAATCATTTGGGTCGTGTGTGTGTGTGTGTGTGTGTGTGTGTGTGTGTGTGTGTGTGTGTGTTGTGGGTGGGGAATAGGCAGATGCCACTATTCCCTTCCTACAGTTTCTCATCTGATCAGTGTCAGAGTAGTTTCTGGCTCAGTAAATGCTGCAGTAATCACATTAATAACTTGTACACAACTGCTCTTCATGCAGCAGTTTAGGGGGCTCGGCAGGTAATCACTGGTGTAATGCTACGACTAATGTTGACTGGTCTAGAGAGCGCAACATAAACCCCTCCGTACTTCAGGAGGGGAAGTGAGGTTGGGCGATAGTCTGTGTTACTGGCTTCCTGCCTCCTTAGAGCGTTTGATTTTAAGGGTGTTTAATATCTCTCATTGTCACTGAGAAAAAAGCAGAGACCTCCATTGTTTTGACTGTGTGGGTTGTAATTTTACATTTTAATTAACTCCCCAACCAGGAACTGCCTGCAACAACATTACTGCTTATTAACATGAAGGGAATAGAGAGGGGACAGAGACAGACAGGAAGCACATTAGAAAGACAGATACGGGGGAGAACACGGAGGAATCAAAGGAAGAGAGAGCAGGGAAAAGAGACAGTGATTGAAAGGAGTGCGAGAGCAAGACTGCAGCAGCAGCGGACAGGAGAGAGAGGAAGAGGAGGGGGGGTCTCTCTGAATGAGATCTTCCTCTTTTGGGCTTGAATTTAATTGCCATGTACATCAGCAGCGAGCTACAATGAAGTAGCGAGATACCAGACAATATATCATAAAGAAACCAACAGTGTCAAGATGCGCAAATGCTGGGAAGACAAGCGGCACTCCAAAGGGAGAGGACTGGGGGAGATAAGTGGAGATGAAAGCGATGCGCTTCGATTACTGTTTTGCAACCGAACTGAAATGAAAAAACGTAAGTCTCTCTAGCTCAAGCCAGATTCATATAAAAATAACAATCCCTAGTTTTCTGCTCTCATTCTGGACTGAAGCCATCAGCTTTAAATAGTGTGCCGGGAGCATGAGCCACTCTCTCCCTCGCTCCTCTTCCCTCCCCCTTCTCACCAAAATCTCCATCGACAGCAGTTTTGTCACCCACATATCATATGCACAACAACTGCTAAGGCCCTGAACCTCAGTCACTGTTGACACAGATAATGAATCATACTGAAATATGCAACAGTGACACTGAATGCAGGGTTTGTTTTGAGTATCATCTCGAGTGTGATGCACTGCACTGTAACTCTGGAACATCATCATTCATTAAGTGATAGCATGAGCTGCTTTCCCTTTCTTCTGGTCGGCCCTTTAACCGTCACACATGCTGGGTTTGAGCTCCATTCAGAAAGCCTCAGTCTTGTTTTATCTTGGGTACAGTTTCATATATATTCCACAAGACAACACGTGAAAAAGCAAGGAGAATAAGACAGAATCTGCCCTGTTTTTATGTTGAATTAAGTCTCTTGATTCATTCTTTTGTAGTTCAGCGGATAATTCCTCCCTTGAGTTGGTATCCTCGGAGCAGGCTGTCATGAGTGGCGCTCAGACGGCAGCGAGCCAGGCAGCATCCCAATCCCCCCGAGGACACGGCTTCAGAAATGGGCTCTTCTGAGCAGGGGGGTGGGGGAGGGGTTCAGTGTCCTTGACCATCCATCGGTGGCCTTCGGTCCTCCCCCCGCCGCTCCCCTGCGAGAGCCCGCATGAGACACTCCTGAGCCAGAACTGATCCTGTACACACCATGCTGTAAATTGGGATAAATCCCTCTACAGCAGGTTCACAGCCGCCACCAAGGGTGTCTTTGACAGTACAGTACAAACTAAAAGCAGGGTTTTTTTCCCAGGGGAACTGCGCTGCTGTTTGGTAAAGAGTTTAAATGGGATATCATGCAACGCTCATGACATTTGATGAGGGGGATGCCTCACCTTCAAAGAACACGCTGTGCTCCGTCGTGTTTTAAATGCTTAAACACCGAGAATGTGAAGCACTTTTAAAGAAGGCGATCAAGACATTCTCCTCGCTTTACCTCACTTCAATCCACTGACAGTGAAATACTCTCCTCTGACGCTCGGCTTGTACGCTCTTGCCTGTAGCAGCCTGCCATATTGAGTTGCCGACCCATCAGCTCATTCATCCCTTTCTCTCTCTATTCCTCTTTACAAGCTAAATGTTCATCATGGCCAGATATGATGTTCAGAACTCATCACCTTCGCCTCCCACTGCGATCATCACACACTGCAGCTCCATGGAGCCTTCATTCACACGGACCTTCAAGCTCATTAGCCCCACCAATTGTTTGCATTAGTGCTAGTAATGAAAAGCCTCCATTAATAAGATGGCCTTCAGAGATCATTTACCCTCCTCCGCCTCCCAGTGCTGCCATAACCTCAGCTCACCCCTCCCTCCTTCCCTCCTTCTCCTCCTCCTCCTCCAGGTACCTGCCAGGTTATCAACACCCAGCAGAATGCTTTTTGGGGCTGGACCCTTTAATAGCTCCTCTCAGCATCAGTATCTAACTGGAGAGTGAATGAGTGAGAGAGACGGGTCACCTGATAGCTTACTGAGTGCGCTCGGGGCTCTCGATTGCAGGCAGGCTCCGGCCTTCGGCTTGACTTAATCAACGTCTCTGCGGG